GGTCAATGAAAAAGCATTGTCACCACAGCATTATGCAATGACATATACAGGTTTATAAACTAGTTGCATTTAAAATATATTATTTTTTTTTAAGTGAATACAAAACAGGACTAAATAGTGTTTTTAAATTTGTGTTCACCCTTAACACACAAGTATGACTCTTACGTTCAGACATGTGAAGACTCTATTTAGTTTATTCTGGATGAGGCCATGCTCTGAATCAAGCAGATCGTTGCATTAAGAGACAGACCCAAAAATTCAATCTGCTCTGGATGACCCCATACAATCTCAGAGTGTTACATTACAAAGAACCTGTCCTTTACTCATATAAATTCCAGGAGGACCAAAATGCACTAGTACTTACCTTCCTAGTGCTCCCTGGTCAAACGTATCACTGTTCGATCAGTAGACGTGCAGTTAGTTTTGTTCCCAATCGAATTTCAGATGAATTTTTTAGTTATTCGGAGATTCGGATGTATGAGAATTCCGAATGACAACAATAACACATTTAAACGAATCCGAAATAAGGAAACTAAATTTGGCCAAAATTCAATTAGAAAACAAATTAGAAAACAAAATCAAACGAACATTCATAAACAAATTTAAAGAGGAGCTGCACCCAAAAGAGGAAGTTCCGCTTTAAGGACTGGTCCTCCGCTCCCCGTTAAGGATTGGCACCTTTGGGGAGCGGGGGTTGGAGCAAGTACCTGAAATTGACAGGTACGCACTCCCACTTTCTCTGCGATTGCCTAGGCAATTGGAAGTTATCCCCTACCCTCTCCCTCCCTGTAGTCTTCTGGGACACGTGACAGGTCTCAAAAGACTACAGGGCCATTCACAAAGTGCAGTGCTATTCGCACATGTGCAGCAAGCAGTGAAGCCGCAAGTTGTCATAGCCGGGTGCCCACACTGAAGATGGCGGCGCCGGGAGCACAGGGCGGCCAGTGAAATGGGCTGTGGTGAGGACACCGTGGGATTGAGGAACAGGTAAGTGGCTGTTATTTTGAAAGTCAGCAGATACCGTTTTTGTAGCTGCTGACTTTTTTTTTTTATTTTCATTTTCACTGGAACTCCGCTTTAAACTCGAATTTGATAACAAAAATACGATTAGAAAATCAAACAAATGTTCTTGAAATGAAAATTCTGAAATGAAAATCCATACATGCTTGGGCAGCTTAAGGACTAGAAAATCAAATGAATATTCTCGGCTGAAATCTACACGTGTATGGCCAGCCTTAAGCCCCGTACACACACTGTGAGAATATCGGACAATATCTGTTTTTTTTTCGCCTGCTAGTCTCACATTGAAAGTGTAAAGGTTACTAAAGATATGAAAATTCACGTACAAAAGAAAAGAATTTCAAAAGTGATGTCATATATTTGAATTGTATTTTCAGACTACTGTACTGAACAAAAATCATACGACTTGGTATGGTATGAGAAACATTTTCACGCTTGTCCCTTCGGATTTTGTTGCACAAATTGTCGTGATCAGCTCTCAAAAGTTGTGTACTAACAATTCGAATATCGGACGATTGGTCCTCGTACGATTTTCTTATTGTGTGTACGAGGCATTAAGCTGGCCATACACATGTAAATTTTCAGCCAAGAATATTCATAAGAAAAGTCGTACAAATATTCTTTGCACATTTGATGAATGGACGAATGTTGTTCGAAAATTGTCTTTTGCTTTTAACATTCGATTTTAAAATGAATGTAATTTCTGACCGAGAGCCACATACAGTGGCCAAAAATTCTTTAGATTGAGAAACATTTTCCTTCCTGCCCCTTCAAATTTGTCCGTCACTGCCGTTGCCAAACATCGATTTAACCCCAATAACGGTTACAAAATAAAACTAATATTCTTGAAATGAATATTCTCAGACGAAAATCTACACATGTATGGCCAGCTTAACTTTTCAAATGGTCAAATTTTTTCAAATTCAGATGACATTTCAAATTTTCTTGAATCAATTTTGAATTCGGTTGAACTTATTTTGAATGTGAATGACTTTTTGGATTCAATCGAAATGTTTTTGAATTGAATTCGAATACGAATTACCTAAACAAATCCCAAAAACAAATTGAACGAATTTACTGAATCCAACTACACAAAATTAGTTAGATTTCAAATCGAAGCTAAATTATTTTTTTTTGTTTTGCATATGTCTATTGATCATCCAGTACTTTTGGGTATGGCAGAACATGCTACCATCCCCACAGCAGTCCTGTTAGTTTGCCCTGCATCAGTGGTCAGTGGGAGTCAGCAATGGCCTGTTGTTAGTTGGAGTTAAAAATGCCCTGGCGTTAGCGGGAATAAAAAAAATGTCCTTTGCATCAACTGCCGATGTATGTAAAATATTCCTGGTCATGGGCAGTAGGAGTTATAATTGTCCTGGCACTCGGGAAGGGTGCTCCATTGTTGATATCAAAGGAGGAATAGTTCCCATCATTGGTGTTAGTGGAAGAATAGTGCCCCATCATTGGTGTTAGTGGGAGGAATAGTGCCCCATCATTGGTGTCAGTGGGAGGAATCGTGCCCCATCATTGGTGTCAGTGGGAGGAATCGTGCCCCATCATTGGTGTCAGTGGGAGGAATCGTGCCCCATCATTGGTGTTAGTGGGAGGAATAGTGTTCCATCATTGGTGTTAGTGGGAGGAATAGTGTATTTGTCAATGGGAGGAATAGTGCCCCATCGTATTTGTCAGTGGGAGGAATAGTGCCCCATCGTATTAGTGCCCCATCGTGTCATCGGGAAGAATAGTGCCCCATCATTGGTGTTATGGGAGGAATAGTGCCCATCATTGGTGTTAGTGGGATTAGTGTCATTGGTGTCAGTGGGAGGAATAGTGCCCCATCATCGGTGTTAGTGGGAGGAATAGTTCATTGTGTCAGTGGGAGGAATAGTGCCCCATCATTGGTGTCAGTGGGAGGAATAGTGCCCCATCATTGGTGTTAGTGGGAGGAATAGTGCCCCATCATTGGTGTCAGTGGGAGAATAGTGCCCATCATTGGTGTCAATGGGAGGAATAGTGCCCCATCATTGGTGTTAGTGGGAGAATAGTGCCCCATCGTATTTGTCAGTGGGAAGGAATAGTGCCCCATCATTGGTGTTAGTGGGAGGAATAGTGCCCCATCATTGGTGTTAGTGGGAGGAATAGTGCCCATCGTATTTGTCAGTGGGAGGAATAGTGCCCCATCATTGGTGTTAGTGGGAGGAATAGTGCCCCATCATTTGTGTCAGTGGGAGGAATAGTGCCCCATCATTGGTGTTAGTGGGAGGAATAGTGCCCCATCATTGGTGTTAGTGGGAGGAATAGTGCCCCATCATTGGTGTCAGTGGGAGGAATAGTGCCCCATCGTAGTCGTCAGTGGGAGGAATAGTGATCCATAATTGGTGTCTGTGAGAGTATTAATTTCCCCTTATTGGTGTCAGTGGGATTTGGAGAGCCCCCACCCAGCATGTGATCACCTGCCAGACAGTGCTGGGTGCTGCCATACTGCATACAGGGTCACCCTCTCCTGTACAGTAAGAAAGCCCTAAATTCCAGACCCTCTCATTGAAGGGACAGTCTACAGCAATCAGCAGGTTGTAATCAGACCGTGAACATTATTTTTAGTTTAGCTAGTGGTATCATATCTTACTTTTTCGATTTTAACATATTTTGATATATTTTTGGCAATTACATTTATAGTTAAAATAAAAAGTATAGTCATCACAACTTGCCGTTATTTTCTTTGGATAAGCCTGCTTTATTTCTGTTTAAAATTCCTATTGGTTTATTGAAATCCTGTAGAACTTCCTCATATAGTTCTTCCATGAGAGCTGTTAAATAAATTGATAAAAACTTTACCCCAATGAAGTAACCACTGCTTGGCGAATTAGGTGGTTTTTCTGCTAGATGATTTTATCACAATGCATATATTATGTGCTAATACGGTTAAAGACAAACTTACACAGAAATGCTATGTTTATGTCACTCAGATCCATCACCCTACACCAGGGGTGGGCAAACATTTTGACTTGAGGGCCGCAATGGGTTCATATATTGGACCCGGGGGCCGGACCAAGAGTAGATGAATGATGTGTATGTGTCATCCATAGTAAGTATAGTAATATTCCCCCATAGTAAGCATAGTAATTAATCCCCCATATAGTAATTCATCCCCCATAGTAATTCATCCCCCATAGTAATTCATCCCCCATAGTAATTCATCCCCCCTATAGTAATTCATCCCCCATAGTAATTCATCCCCCATATAGTAATTCATCCCTCATATAGTAATTCATCCCCCATAGTAATTCATCCCCCCTATAGTAATTCATCCCCCCTATAGTAATTCATCCCCCATATTAAGTCCCCAAGTCCCCCCTGTGTCAATTCACTTACCTTTGCTCCGCACGTTCCTCTCGCCGTGTTCCCGCTTCGTTCCGGTGTAGCATGAAAATCTGTCTCCTATGAGGATCTGTCCCCCTTGACGTATCTGCGCATGTGCCAGTTTCAGGCATTAGCAGCCGATCGGCGATCTCCAGCACATGCGCAGATACGTCGAGGGGGACAGATCCTCACAGGAGACAGATTTTCATGCTGCACCGGTCTTCAGGGCGGACTGTGAGAGGAGATTAGCGGGAGCCTAGCTCCGCAGGCCGGATTAAAAGGTCCGCCGGGCCGTATACGGCCCGTGGGCCGTAGTTTGCCCATTGCTGCCCTACACACAACTTCTATCTTATTCTTACTTATTGTAAATTAAAAAAAGTCCCAGGTGTCATCAGTGAGAGTATTCCATCTTCACGGCTTCCACCAGTGAGTTCACAACCGACCAGCTGACTATAGCATATAATACAGTAATGAGGTTCATAAAATGTCCACCACATGTCCACCATCTGCCACTCTGAGGCATTGGAGTATTTTGGTTTTGTGCTGTAAACCTCACCCCTTCTATTTAGGCCCCTCCTCTTCCTATTAGAGCTCCACCAACTGACAACAACAGTGGGGCGCTATTCCTCCCACTGACACCAATGATGGGGCACTATTCCTCCCACTGACACCAATAACAGGGGAACTATTCCTCCCACTTACACCAATGATGGGGCACCATTCCTCCCACTGACAATGATGGGGCACTATCCCTCCCACTGACACCAATGATGGGGCACTATCCTTCCCACTGACACCAATGATGGTGCCCCACCATTAGTGTCAGTGTGGGAGGAATAATGCCCCTTCATTAGTGTCAGTGGGAAGAATAATGCCCCATCATTTGTATATGAACCACCTGCGCTAACCAAAAATTACAAATATAATAGCCTAAAATTAGGAAGCAGCTGTCACCTTACTATACACCTGGATAGAATACAAAGGAATTGAAAAAAATGGTGCTGCTCTACCGTAAAAAGGGCCTACAGACCTAAAATATATATATCTCCTACAAACGCCACCATCTTAGATTTATAAAGACATCTTATTTAAATAAATACATTCAATACTGTGCAAAAAAGTATCAAGCATATAAAAATGAAAACAGAAAATAAATCACTGAGACTATCAAAAAGTTGTGCAAACCACAAATTAGTCCCTTAAAGGCAACATTTATGCCAGTTGTCAGTCAATTCTCACTGCACAGACTTTAAGGCAATATTTATGCCATGTGTCTATCACTTTCCTACTTTGTGATTTGTGTCACTTATGCCCTTGTTTAAGGGACTAGTTTGTGGTTTGCACAACTTTTTGATAGTCTCAGTGATTTATTTTCTGTTTTCATTTTATATCCTTGATACTCTTTTGCACAGTATTGAATGTATTTATTTAAATAAGATGTCTTTATAAATCTAAGATGGTGGCGTTTGTAGGAGATACATATATTTTAGGTCTGTAGGCCCTTTTTACGGTAGAGCAGCACCATTTTTTTCAATTCCTTTGTATTCTATCCAGGTGTATAGTAAGGTGACAGCTGCTTCCTAATTTTAGGCTATTATATGTATCTATTTATATAAGATGTCTTTATAAATCTAAGATGGTGGAGTTTGAAGGATACACATTATATATATATATATATATATATATATATATATATATAGTGAAGGAAATAAGTATTTGATCCCCTGCTGATTTTGAATGTTTGCCCACTCACAAAGAAATGATCAGTCTAAAAATCGAATGGTAAGTGTATTGTAACACTGAGAGACAGAAAAGCAACAAACAATTCAAAAGAACTGCATGTCTAACAAATTATGTACTGATTTGCATGTTCATATAGGGAAATAAGCATTTGATCCCCTTCACAAAACATGACTTAGTACTTGGTGGCAAATCCCTTGTTGGCAATCACAGAGGTCAGACGTTTCCTGCAGTTGGCCACCAGGTTTGCACACATCTCAGGAGGGATTTTGGCCCACTCCTCTTGGTAGATCCTCTCCAAGTCATTAAGGTTTGGTGGCTGATATTTAGGAACTTGAACTTTCAGCTCCCTCCACAGATTTTTCAATTGGATTAAGGTCTGGAGACTGGCTAGGTCACTCCAGGACCTTAATGTGCTTCTTCTTGAGCCACTCCTTTGTTGCCTTGGCCATGTGTTTTGGGTCATTCTCATGCTGGAACACCCATCCATGACCTATTTTCAATGCCCTGGCTGAGGGAAGAAGGTTCTCACCCAAGATTTGATGGTACATTGCCCCGTCCATCATCCCTTTGATGCGGTGCAGTTGTCCTGTCCTCTTAGTAGAAAAACACCCCCAAAGCAGAATGTTTCCACCACCATGTTTGACAGTTGGGATGGTGTTCTTGGGGTCATAGGCAGCATTCCTCCTCCTCCAAACACGGCAAGTTGACTTGATGCCAAAGAGCTCGATTTTGGCCTCATCTGACCACAACACTTTCAACCAGTCCTACTCTGCATCACTCAGATGTTCAGTGGCAAACTTCAGATGGGCCTGGACATGTGCTTTCTTGAGCAGAGGGACCTTGCGGGCACTGCAGGATTTCAGTCCTTGTCGGCGTAGTGTGTTACCAATTGTTTTCTTGGTGACTGTGGTCCCAGCTGCCTGGAGATCATTGACCAGATCCTCATGTGTAGTTCTGGGATGATTCCTCACTGTTCTCCTGATCACTGACACTCCACGAGGTGAGATCTTGCATGGTGCACCAGACCTATGGAGACTGACAGTTGTTTTGCGTTTCTTCCATTTGCGAATGATTGTACCAACTGTTTTCACCTTCTCACCAAGCTGCTTGGTGATAGTTTGGTAGCCCAGTCCAGCCTTGTGTAGGTCTACAATCTTGTCCCTGACATCCTCGGGAAGCTCTTTGGTCTTTGCCAAGGTGGAGAGTTTGGAATCTGATTGGTTGATTTCTCCTGTGGACAGGTGTCTTTTTTATATGTAACAAAATGATAATATCAGCACTCCCTTTAAGAGACTGCTTCTAATCTCAGCTTGTTACCTGTATGAAAGACACTTGGTAGCCAGAAATCCTGCTGAATGATAGAGGATCAAATACTTATTTCCCTCAGGAACATGCAAATCAGTGCATCATTTGTTAGACAAGCATTTCTCTTGAATTTTTTGTTGCTATTCTGTCTCTCAGTGGTACAATACACCTACCATTCAATTTTTAGACTGAACATTTCTTTGTGAGTGGGCAAACATTCAAAATCAGCAGGGGATCAAATACTTATTTCCTTCACTGTGTGTGTGTGTGTGTGTGTGTGTGTGTATATATATATATATATATATATATATATATATATATATACACACACACACACACACACACACACACACACACAGTGAGGAACAGAAGTATTTGAACATCCTGCGATTTTGCAAGTTCTCCCACTTAGAAATCATGGAGGGGTCTGAAATTCACATTGGAGGTGCATTCCCACTCTGAGAGACAGAATTAAAAAAAAAATTCAGGAAATCACATTGTATGATTTTTAAAGAATTTATTTGTCTTGCACTGCTGAACATAAGTATTTAAACACCTAAGAAAGAGCAAGAATTATGGCTCTCAAAGACCTGTTACTGTGCCTTTAAAAAGTCCACCTCTACTCCACTCATTAATCTAACTTAGTAGCACCTGTCTGAGCTCTTTAAAGACACCTGTCCACCCCACAGTCAGTCAGATGCCAACTACTACCATGGGCAAGACCAGAGAGCTGTCAAAAGACACAGAGACAAAATTGTGGACCTCCACAAGGCTGGAAAGGGCTAAGGGGCAATTGCCAAGCAGCTTGGTGAAAATAGATCAACTGTTGGAGCAATTGTTAGAAAATGGAAGAGGCAAAAGAAGACGTCAGTCTCCCTCGGACTGGGGCTCCATGCAAGATCTCACCTCGTGGGGTATCACTGATAAGAAAGGTGAGGAATCAGCCCAGAACTACAAGGGAGGAGCTGGTCAATGACATGAAAAGAGCTGGGACCACAGTTTCAAACGTCACTGTCGGTAGAACACTACGCCGTCATGGTTTCAAATCATGCATTGCACGGAAGGTTCCCCTGCTCAAGTCATCACATGTCCAGGCCCGTCTGAAGTTTGCCAATGACCATCTGGATGATCCAGAGGAGGCATGGGAGAAAGTCATGTGGTCAGATGAGACCAAAGTAGAACTTTTTGGTCTAAACTTCACTCGACGTGTTTGGAGGAAAAAGAAGGATGAGTTGCATCCCAAGAACACCATCCCTACTGTGAAGCATAGGGGGTGGTAACATCATGCATTGGGGGTGCTTTTCTGCGAAGGGGACAGGAAGACTGCACTGTATTAAGGAGAGGATGAATGGGGCCATTTATTGTGAGATTTTGAGCAACAACCTCCTTCCCTCAGTCAGAGCATTGAAGATGGGTCGTGGCTGGGTCTTACAACATGACAACGACCCGAAGCACACAGCCAGGATAACCAAGGAGTGGCTCCGTAAGAAGCATATCAAAGTTCTGGAGTGGCCTAGCCAGTCTCCAGACCTAAATCCAATAGAACATCTTTGGAGGGAGCTGAAACTACGTGTTGCTCAGCGACAGCCCCGAAACCCGACAGATATAGAGGAGATCTGTGTGGAGGAGTGGGCAAACATCCCTGTTGCAGTGTGTGCAAATCTGGTCAAGAACTACAGGAAATGTTTGACCTCTGTAATTGCAAACAAAGGCTTCTGTACCAAATATTAACACTGATTTTCTCAGGTGTTCAAATACTTATGCTCAGCAGTGCAAGACAAATAAATTATTTACAAATCATACAATGTGATTTCCTGAATTTGTTTTTTAAATTCTGTCTCTCAGAGCGGGAATGCACCTACAATGTGAATTTCAGACCCTCCATGATTTCTAAGTGGGAGAACTTGCAAAATTGCAGGGTGTTCAAATACGCCTGTTCCTCACTGTATGTATGTATATATATATATATATATATATATATATATATATATATATATATGATTTAGGTCTATAGGCCCTGTTTACGGTAGCGCAGCACCATTTTTTCAAGTGCCCTATCATTGGTGTCAGAGGGAGGAATAGTTCCCCAGTTATTGGTGTCAGTGGGAGGAATAATGCCCCATTATTGGTGTCAGTGGGAGGAATAGTTCCCCCTTTATTGGTGTCAGTGGGAGGAATACTGCCCCATCTATTGGTGTCAGTGGGAATAGTGCCCCATCGTTGGTGTCAGTGGGAGGAATAGTGCCCCATCATTGGTGTCAGTGGGAGGAATAGTGCCCCATCATTGGTGTCAGTGGGAGGAATAGTGCCCCATCATTGGTGTCAGTGGGAGGAATAGTGCCCCATAATTGGTATATGTGGAAGGAATAGTGCCCCATCATTGATGTCAGTGGGAGGAATAGTGTCCTATCATTGGTATCAGTGGGAGGAATAGTTTCCCCGTTATTAAATTAAAAAAAACATTTTGTGTCGCGCTCCACTAACAATATACATAAAAATCAATTAGTGCAAAACAATAAACTGATTACTAATATATTTCCATAATGTGATATCATCACGCTAGTAATGCATGCATATCTTCACATATAAAGTCCTCAAAATAATCCGTGATTCTATAGTTCTTCTACGATGTATAAATAAAATGTTAAGTAAAAATGAGAATAAAGAAATAAAAATATATATGTATAAATAATAGTCCACCAAATTTATAAATGTATATTGTGCTCCTTCACCAATTGTGCTCTCACCTGATGTGTATGACCAAACCGTTAAGCGAGATCATACAATCTCAGAATAGGACAAATGGATAAATCCCTGTATCCCAGATGGATGGATGGAGTTTTATTTTTCCCAGCAGGGAGTCTCACCGTTGTCAAGAGATCCTTTTCCTGAGGATGGATGGATGGAGTTATCCCTCTTCCCTCTAGGGGGTCTCTTGGCTCCTTTCAGACTTTTTCCTCCGTATATGTGTGTTCCCAAAAATTAAAGCAGCTTTCATCCTCTTCTTCCCCTAGCCTCTAATTTGCATCTTTCCCCCTGTTATTGGTGTCAGTGGGAGGAATAGTTCCCCCGTTATTGGTGTCAGTAGGAGGAATAGTGTCCCATCATAAGTGTCAGTGGGAGGAAAAGTCAGTGGCACCAATGATGGGGCATTGTTCCATCCACACTGACACAAATGATGGGGCACTATTCCTCCTACTGACACCAATGATGCTTTCATTGCTGACCCCTGCTCCCTCACTCTCCCATCCACAGCCAGCATACCAGGCTGCAGTAGCACCATCTGCTCTGCCCAGATCCTGGCCACACTTACTTCACCGATCAGCTGTCTTCCTTCTCTGGCTGCTCTCCTCTTCACCGGCTCCTTCACTCGATCATCTTCGATATTAGCGCTGCTGCTTGGCTCCTCCTCTCCAAGCTCTGCCTCCACGCTGTGACAGCATGAGGAAAGGACTGCTTATAAACAGCAACTGTATTTACTTTATGATCTTCTGTGTCATTGGACACAGCTGATCACATGCTAAAAGGCATTTTACCCAGTCATGTGATCAGCTGTGTCCTTAGTGCGTCCTGTGCACAGCCATCCAGAGCAGTGTGCCCGAGCCGACAGGGAGGAGGACTGTTAGTAAACAAAACAATGTTCCTCCCTGACGGTGATCGTCGGAAATCACCAGCGCCAGAGCGTAATTAACGGCCGGGACCCGTTGATTAACAGCCGCGGGCGCGAATGGTGGTGCGGGTAGTGCGCGGCTCGTGCGCACCCCTAACCAGAAATGCAAAATCACGTGTATATATACACGATTTTGCGCACAAATGCCGCCCTGTAGCAGTATTCCAGGTATAGGGTGGTCGGGAAGCGGTTAAGGAGGGATGGGCTCCTCCAGGCACACCTGCCCTTAACCTATCCATTGATATATGTGCTCCTACTATGGAGGCCCTGGAAATTGCAAATATGTGCAAACAAAACCCTCTGTTTTTAACGCAAACTGTTAGACAGGGCCAAATTGGTTGTTTTGCAGGCTGGCTGGAAAGTGCTGCTGGGAAATCCTTTGTTTGTTTCTAACTATCAAATTCCCTGGATACAACCCTGGCCAACTGGCATCTAGTTGACAAGCTGACTAGTATACACATCCCTATCAGTGTTAAAGTGTAACTAAACCCTTCCATCTTTATAGCCAAGGAATCTACCATCTTAGCCTCTATTTGATCAGTAGTTACTATGGTGCTTCACTTGTGATCAGTTATGACACCAGCCATTTGATGGCTTGACAGTTCAGTTGAGAGCACAAGTAATTGTGACAGTTATCAATCACGGCATGCCTTGAATGTAAATGTTTTGGGAAACTGTGAAATCGATGGATTGTCTCAGCCCCATTAATGCCATGATTGCGGGACAGCTTGGTCTGTTATACCCTTCCTACTTCTATATTTATGTCTACTTTTCTACATTGCTCAAAAAATTAAAGGAACACTTTTTCATCAGAGTATAGCATCAAGTCAATTAAACTCCTGGAATATTGATCTGGTCAGTTAAGTTGCAGAGGGGGTTGTTAATCAGTTTCAGCTGCTTTGGTGTTAATGAAATTAACAACAGGTGCACTAGATGGGCAACAATGAGATGACCCCCAAAACAGGAAGTTTTTACAGGTGGAGGCCACTGACGTTTTTTTTCCCTACACATCTTTACTATTTTTCACTAGTTTTGCATTTGGCTAGGGTCAGTGTCACTACTGGTAGCATGAGGCAATACCTGGACCCTACAGAGGTTTCACAGGCAATCCAACTCCTCCAGGATGGCACATCAATACGTGCCGTAGCCAAAAGGTTTGCTGTGTCTCCCAGCACAGTCTGAAGAGCATGAAGGAGATTCCAGGAGACAGGCAGTTACTCTAGGAGAGCTGGACAGGGCCGTAGAAGGTCCTTAACCCAGCAGCAGGACCGGCATCCGCTCCTCTGTGCAAGGAGGAACAGGATGAGCACTGTGAGAGCCATACAAAATGACCTCCAGCAGGCCACTGGTGTGAATGTCTCTGACCAAACAATCAGAAACAGACATCATGAGGGTGGCCTGATGGCCCGACGTCCTCTTGTGGGCCCTGTGCTCACTGCCTGGCACCATAGAGCTCGATTGGCATTTGCCATTGAACACCAGAATCGGCAGGTCCGCCACTGGCACCCTGTGCTTTTCACAGATGAGAGCAGGTTCACCCTGAGAACGTGACAGATGTGAAAGGGTTTGGAGAAGCCGTGGAGAACGTTGTGCTACCTGTAACATCGTTCAGCATGACCGTTTTAGTGGTGGGGGTCAGGGATGGTCTGGGGAGGCATATCCATGGAGGGATGCACAGACCTCTACAGGCTAGACAATGGCAGCCTGACTGCCATTAGGTATTGGGATGAAATCCTTGGACCCATTGTCAGACCCTACACTGGTGCAGTGGGTCCTGGGTTCCTCCTGGTGCAAGACAATGCCCGGCCTCATGTGGCGAGAGTATGCAAGCAGTTCTTGGAGGATGAAGGAATTGATACCACTGAATGGCCCCCATGCTCGCCTGACCTAAATCCAATAGAAAACCTCTGGGATATCATGTTTCGGTCCATCCGACACTGCCAGGTTGCACCTCAGACTGTCCAGGAGCTCAGTGATGCCCTGGTCCAGATCTGGGAGGAAATACTCCAGGACACCACCCATGGTCTCATTAGGAGCATGCCCCGACGTTTTCAGGCATGCATACAAGCACGTGAGGCCATACAAACTACTGAGTACTATTTTAAGTTGCTGCAATGAAATTTCTGCAAAATGGACTAGCCTGCTGCATCATTTTTTCACTTTGATTTTCGGGGTGTCTTTGAATTCAGTCCTCTGTAGGTTGATAATTTTTATTTCCATCAAACACACAATGGACCAGCCTTATGTTCCAAACACATTACCCAGTCCATATCAGTATAGATATCCAGCATGATATTTTTCCCCATTGAGATGTGATTTGTTTTCAAAGTGTTCCATTTTTTTGAGCAGTGTATTTAAGTTGTATTGTAGCAAGGTATTTTTTGAGCATTGTATTTAAGGGCATTAGATCCTTTTTACCTCTTCATGGTTTGAACTGACCAGGCTATGGGATGATCCCATCATCAGTGGGGCCATTGTCAGGCTGTCTTAAGTAATCACATACAATGCAGGACCCAGGGGCAGACTGACCATTCGAGCACCCAGGCACTGCCTGATGGCCCGGGGTCAGTAGAGGGCCCCATGAGATGCCCCTGGTACCTTTCATTGGCTGTTTCATAGGCTTTTTTGGATGTGGGTGAAGACACAGGGGCCCCATGATCCCCTATTGCCCGGGGGCCCCATGAGTTGTCAGTCCGCCTCTGGCAGGACCAGTTGGTCCAGACTTCTATCTGAGGCCTGAGAGAGTCTGCCCACATCTTAGGAGTGTTGAAGAGCAAAGAAGAGCACGGGCTGCTGTATTTGTACTTATCCATCACTCCCTAGACAAAACAAGCATTTAACCTTAACCCCTTCCAGCCTTTTAGAACTTCTGGATGCTGGGAGGTAGAGGCAGGCATACGGGTCATGTGACCACTGTGATTGGCTGTCACAATGGTCACATTTTTGAAAAGCTCCTTAAGTAAGCATTGGGAGCCTACCGATCCTCGCCGGCTACCATGCTGGGAGTGTGTGCAGGGAGAGCGCTTTCAGTGCAGTAAGTTGTTCATACATAGTCACATATAAGTGGCTGGTCATCATTAAGGCCCACTCACCAAAGAGGCCACATATATGTGTAGGGTGCAAATAAGTGGTTGTAAAGGCTAAAGGTTTTTTTTACCTTCATGCATTCCATGCATGAAGGTAAAGAAAAAACAAAAAAAAAACCTGCTGTGTGCTGCTTCCCCCACAACCCCCGCTCCCCTTATAACTGAGCCCAGTTTTGATCTAGAGACACAGTAGCAGGGGCCATTGGCTCCCACTGCTGTCAGTCACAGCCAGGGTGGAGAAGGGAGTGTTGCTGAGCCATACTCTGTGTGTCTTATAGACACACAGAGCGGGGCTCGGGAGTGAGCATGCTCGAGTGCCCCCACAGCAAGTGGCATGCTCTGCAGGCTCTCAGAAAAGGGGGGGCCAGGGGTGCAGGCAGGGGACCCAAGAAGATGAGGATCGGGCTTCTCTGTGTAAAAACCACTGCACAGAGCAAGTAAAAAAGAAAAAAAAAAAAGAAAAAAAAAAAAAAAAAAAGGCTGTTAATATCACTTTAACCCATGCAGTGCAAGGGGAGGAGGGCACTGCATGGTTAAATTTCACACCAGCCAGAGTCGGCTGACCAGCAATGACAGCAGAGGATATAATGATGTATGAATACTTAGAAGCGTTCTTCTGCACAGCTTTACCTTTAGCAAGATCAAAGCGTTTTATATAGATGAGGGCATAATATAACCGATCCAAGTCTGTGGTATCAGCCTTGTCTTCATACCACTTCTTCATTGTTAAGTGACATTCCTCCATGGTCACTGTGTATGATAAAAGGAAAAATGAAGAATACATGTCTTGCATGTACAGTATTGAAAAACTAATGGCTGCTTACTATGTTTTCTTTTACTGAAAATATCATGTCATCAACAAGGCACAGATTGCCAACATTGTGGATAGCATTGTGCGATTACAGAGTGCAAATCAGTAACAAAGATACCAAAATCACAAATAAAATATTATTCAACAAAAATGAAAAACACAAAACTGCATTTATCACATTGTCAACTCACAGATCTCCTTGTGCTGTTTGGAAGGTCCAGAGAGACGTCTAAATAAATGACTGCATTCTTCTTGTGTTAAATAGCCAAGAAAACGCCTTACTGCACCCCAACCCAAAACATCTGCAACTGAAAAATTATAAAACACAGTTACAACAGAATTCTCCCTAAGCAGTAGGGTATGGAGAGTAATATGGGAAATAAAAATATTAATAAGGGGAATATTCATAATTACATTAAAATAATATCACTGTTTATAACTGTAATTGGTGTTGTATCTGTTGGTATAAATATCCTCATAGCTAAGATATAATTTAAAGTGTTACTAAACCCACAAAAGTAAAATCAGTCTGTATATGCAGCAAAGCATGCTTGTTATACTCACTGTGGAACCTAAGGGGTTAATCCTCTGCATTATGTAAAAAGGCTGTTTGATCCTGACTTCTCTGATCCTCCCCTTGTTCCAGTGTCTCCCTCTTATCTCCTGATAAAACATATAGTGTGGAGACACACTGAACATTCTCAGTTTGGTGTGTATTACTAGAGATTTTTTTTTTCTTGCGAGAGTGCATGTGATCAGCAGAGGGCCAATGAGCACTGTCCAGACAGAGGTCAAGGTATCACATACCTGGATAGTGAGCCTGACATGAAGAGGCAGGCCTCCCATACAACTCCAGCTCAAGGGCTACTGATAGTGGGACAGCGGCC